TGATATATTGCTTTGCTTGTACTTCCTCATTTGTAAGTCGCTTTGCATAAAAGTGTCTGCTAAATGGATAAATGTAAATATAGTCCTCTTTAGTTTATCGGACGTGGTGTCCATGGTTTCCAACTATTTTCCACTTTGCCTCAGTCCATTTTATGTGGCTTAAAAGACCGCTTCATATGGGTTCTTCTTTGAGTGATAGAGCTTTAACCCGCATTTGTGGATGGAACGGCGAACTGTGTTCACAGACAGTGAGTTCTGGAGGTGTTTCTGAGCCCATGCAGTGATTTCCATTACAGAATCATGCCTGTTTTCAATGCAGTGCTGCCTAAGGGCCCAAAGATCACGGGCATGCAAAATTGATTTTCACACTAGTCCCTTGCGCACAGAGATTTCTCCAGATTCTCAGAATCGTTTCATGATTTTATGGCACTTTAGATGATCAATTTTACATTGATAAACATTATTCTGAAATTGTTCCATAAATTGTAGATGCAGTTTTTCGCAGATTAGTGAACCTCTGCCCATCTTTACTTCTGAAAGACTTTGCCTCTCTAAGACACTCTTTTTATACCCAATCATCTTACCGACCTATTGGCAATTAACCTCCAGCTGTTTCTTTTTAGTAACACTTTCCAGCCTTCTGTTGCCCCATCCCAACTTTTTTGAGACGTGTTGCAGCCATCACAATCAAAACTACCTTAATTTTAATCACAAATTTACTCAGTTTAAACATTTGATATGTTTTCGATGTTCTAATGTGGATAACATGGATTTATGAGATTTTCAAATCGTTGCATTCGCTTTTTACTTAAACTTTTCACAGAATGGCAAGATTTTTTTTGGAATTGGTGTTGCAAAACAACAACATACACTGCTATTTCACTAAATTCTGTACATCAATAGAGGCAGAATTACATTGTCTCGCTCGCACACACACAAACGCATGCAAAAAAATTACAAGTTAGTTTTACTGTACCACTTTCTCTCTGTCTCTCTCTGTCTCTCTCTGTCTCTCTGTCTCTCTCTCTCTCTCAAGTTTGCTTTTACCATTAGCATTTAATTCCCTTCATGCTGCCACTCACGGCTTGAAAATGCCCCGTTCAGTGTCCCCTCCAGCTCAGATAGACTAAAGTGGGTGACTCCAGCCTTATTTAAGCACATCCGCAGATGTGCATGCACCTGTTTGTGTGTGCTGACTCTCCTTTATGGCACTGCTGTCACCCTTCATGAGCAGGCTTTGGCGATCTCAGATTAGTTATTTCCTCGCTGCGATGAGCAATAAATCATTTGACTGTTACGTTTCAATTTAACATCAGTTTGAACAGTCCTGAAAACCCCCATTAGGCTGCCAAGAGAAGGTGTAGGGGTGATGTCCAATCACTGTGATTGTCTTTGATTCGAGGTGGCGTGAGCAAGCAGGGCCGGCCAATCAGCTCAACCGTCGTTTTGACTGACGATGATTACGGCCTGTCTGCAAGCAAATCCTTTTCATCTGTCCTCCAGAGTATTTTCGCTCCAGACCATCTCACCTTACTCATATTCAAATGTCAGGTTGCGAGACCATCGGTGACATGCAATTCACTTGCAACAATTAACTCCAGGCAGGGTCAGGTCATGTCAGTAGACACTTCAGCTACCCACTGAAGCATGGTGGGCCATGAGAATCACTTTAGACATGGCAAATTATGTTGGTAACATGGTTATTTCAGCCTTACAGGGCCATGAATCTGAACACTTTATTACAATTCTTCCTAGAGCTAGACTTTCTAATTTGGTTCTCAATTTCTATGCAATCACCCGGTAATAGATTTAATTGGCAAGTATGCATCATTGCTAGAATTGCAGTGGAAGAATTTCAATGGGTAAAATATTCTGTCTCTACATACTGTGTCTATACTTGATGATGCTTGCCAACTTTCTCACTTATATTTTTTTGGATAAATAAAGTCTGCCAAATGAATACACCAGTTAATTACAATAAAGTGACTTATTAAAATGTGAATGACAGAACATCCTTGGATCCTTGCCCCTGAAATCAGTTTTGTACCTGTCCCTTTGTATTTGTTATAGACAATACTATGGCAGTACCAAATAGACTAGAAATAAGATTGTAATTATATAATTATAATTTTTAAGATTATAATTGTTTAAGTCTGGGAAAATTATTGACTTTAGTCTTCTTATACTAATCTTGTGTTCATCCTATTAAATGCTGTCTAGATCATACTGCAATTCCAATATGAGTCTTTATCTGCAGTAGAAGATTGTTAGCAGCAAACATGTTGGTTTGTGTTTGGTTGTGCACTTTGGTTGTGTGTTCCAACCATCATTTGCTGGATAATAAGTGATTGGAGTTTATTCATGTCAAAAACGTGTTATTTTTGCAAATTTGCAGTCATGTGACTTTTTTGGAGTGTTTTGTGTTTTACCAACTTGAGGCTTTTCAATGCTAGAACGTTTTGCTCAAATCTCAGTCTTTATACTGTACACTGTCTGAACTTCTTCTTAAGTAAGACTAAGCATTTTTATAAAGCAGCATAATATTTAAAATTTATTATAAGACTATCATTTGTAGACATCAGATGCCCCCCTTTATTATTCTAAAGCTCTCCATCAACACATGCACCACTGACGGTTGCCTTTGGCTAAAAAATGCATGGCATAATTCCAAAAACACAGAATCTCACTCTCTAGCATATCATCCTTGTTAAAATTGTTAGGGATGAGTAGTGGAGATGATGAAAAAAGGCTACTGTTATACTATTTGTTGTTCTCCATATTTGGCTATTTCACTAAGCAACTGTCAGATTTGTTTAGATTTGGCAGGGATGTGGCATATACATGTGAACCATATATGTCTAAACATGCCTTCAGGCAAAATATCATCTGATGCAACTTGATCTTAGTGCTGTTTTCTATACACTAATACCTCTAGACAGATGTGAAAATTGAAATAAAAAAATAAATAAATAAATAAATGCTCTATACCACCTCCTCATTAACCTTTACGTGCCCCCACTGGACTGAATAAAATTTCTCCCAATAGCTGTCCAGATGACCCTCACATTTTGTCCTTGTGTATGTTGTTACTATGTAATATAATTTTATTTTTCCAAAGCATGGAAAGAACATGCAAACTCTGCACAGAGGCGTGGATTGAACCCCCAACCTCGAAAGTACGAGGCAAAATTATTACTTAAAAAATAAACCCTTTAATGACTGTTTCCACAACTTGGTTTTCTCACAGCACTTAAATTGTTTCATTAAAGTTTCTGAACGATGTACAGTACATTTAAATATGTATTTAGGCAAAATATCAGCTGTTACCACTTGATTGTTTACACTAATACATCTAGGCCGATGAGAAAATTGGGCTGGACTGTCTGGAATGGTCATCAATTTAGGATTTAGGATGTATCTAGAAGAAAATGGATATTCTCTTACACTTGGCAGCTATGAATTGGAATGAACCATGAATGAATCTGTGGTATTCCTCGCAGCTTGATCCCATCCTGATGAACCTGTACATGTTCCCAACTGGCTGAACAGAATTTCTCATAATAGCTATACAGACGACATTAAAACCTACATAGCAGTTTCGCCCAACGACTACAGCCCTATTGACAATTGAACACAACAATCACAAACCAGAGGTGATTATATTCAGCTACAAGTACGAACAACTAATGCCTACCTCCAATCTAAGGCTTTTGATGACACAAAACACATAAAGAATCTACGAGTTTTAGATGATTCAGATCTGAGGATTAATAGTCATATTAAATTGAAAACAAAGTAAACCTTCTACAATGAGATGGGTTATGGACAAGGATCTGCATAAGGGTTAAAATTTTGCATGAAAATAATCTAGAAATTTTTCTCTGGCAGGCTTGATTACTGTAGTGTTCTCTTTATTGGTCTTCCTAGAAACTCCATTAGACACCAGACAGCTGCAGCTCATTCAGAACACTGCTGCAAACCCTTACACTAGCTCCCAGTCAGCGACAGGACTGACTAGTGTTACATCTGGTTTATAAATCATTAAATGACCTTTGATAGAAAATGCATCTCTGATTTGTTGGAAATATGCAATCCTAGAATGTATCTCAGAGTGCTGTGGGTTAATAGTATCCAGAATTAGGACCAAACATGGTGAGGAAGCTTTTAGCTACAGTAATGTGCTGTACTTAGCTGGAGCAAACCCCCCTTAGGTACTGCCACAGACATTGTCCAAATATAAACATCTTAACATATCTGTTGAACTGTGCCATTCCTTCCTCTTTTAACACTTTAGTGGTTAAATGGTTTAAAACAGGATGCTGTTTAGGAAAACATCCTGAAGTGTTTTATTCTTGTACCACAGCAATTTGCCATTTATTTTTACCAATTACAGAATCACACTTTGTATCCATGTCAAATGTCATGCCATATTGACTAGTGTTCACAGCGCCTTCTACTGTATGCATTCTATACATGTAAACTAAACTTCTCCATTATTCACTTGTTCAAGTTTAAGCATGGTATTTTTCAGTGACTGGTATGAAATATTCAGGAACTGTGTCACATTATTAACATAATGAAGGTTAGGACGGATGCAAGTACAGATAAGAGCTTTTAATAAAGAGAGGCAGGCAGACATCCAAATAATAAAAAAACAGGCAGTGGGTCAGGCGATCAGCAAACAGGCATAAACAAGGCAAGGCAAGAATCGAGAACGAGAAACAGAAACAGGATCAAAGAACATGAATCAAAAATGAGGAACAGGGTACAAACGCTTGGTACGGTGATAACACTCAATACTTTGCAAAGAGTGAAAGCCTCGAAAGGCATTATAAACTGTGGTCTGATTGTGTGTGAGATTGGATGCAGGTGTGCATGATTAGAATGAATGAGTGTTCTGGGAATTGCAGACGATGGTGTTCATGTTTGTAGGCCGCAGTGCAGGATGAAAAAAGGTTTGTTGTTACATGACAAACTGCAACAAAATTTAAAAGAAAAGTGGCTATGAAATGAGGAGTGGTTAACATGTTGGACTACTGCTTGACAGGTCATAGGTTCAAATCCCAGCATTGCCAAGGTACCCCTGCTGGACCCTTAACCTTTAACTGCTCAGATGTATGAATGAGATAAATGTAAGTTGCTCTGGATAAGGGTGATAATTAAACCTTGGCATGTCTGTAGTTTAAGGGGTTAAATCATATTGCATTATTTTAAGGAAAAGTTAAAATACCTTACCTTTAAAAATCATTTCATACTGGCAAGATTTAGAATGCACTTCGGTTTACACTGTGGTTGTAACTAGTCAAAGGATAAGCAGATGTTTCATATACTGTGTAAGAGGCAGGTTTTAGAGGAAAGAGAGGGATGGTTTCAATAAAGGGGGGTCTGTGTGGCTATGGAAGAGAATAAAAGAATGCATTAAACCAGTGGTCACTGACCCTGTTCCTGCAGGTTTCATCTCCAACCAATGATCTCCAGGAACAGGGTTGGTGACCACTGCATTAAACTGATGAACTGTAAACATGCTTTAATATTTTTAGGCAGTGAAGATGAATTAATCATTAATTGAAGTTTTAATAGTAAAGGCACATTTTCCATCAAAATTATTGTTCTTAGCAGAATGATAGAGAAAACAGTGAAGTAGTTTGTAAGGAAGTTTGATGCAGAGAAGCAGAAACGAAAACAACACAAGTTTATCCTGCTCACTGCTGAAAATATGGATGTCCATAGATATTGAGGTTCAAAGGCCAGTTGCCTTTGAGATGATAAACACCCACACAGCCTTGTGGGGCATGGAGAAGTATAGTGGGCTTCAATAACTTGTAGATGCATTCTCTCTCTCTCTCTCTCTCTCTCTCTCTCTCTCTCTCTCTCTCTCTCTCTCTCTCTCTCGCTCTCTCTCTCTCTCTTTCTCTGTCCTCCCTCCCATTTTAAAGTTATATGATGCTTTCTTTGCACAAATGTTATTCCCGAAGCAAACTTTACAGGAAAATGTAAGGTTAATTACATGTTAATTTAATTACGTTGAATGAAAAAAAGTTATTGATCTTAAACAACAAGTAGCTAATAACCTGATGATGGGAATTGTCTCCTAAAAATGTGACATTGGTAGCTCAGTGGTTAATTTCACGATTGGAAGGTTGAGTTCAAACCCCAGCACCACCAGGCTGCCACTGATGGCGCTTGAGCAAGGCTCTTAACCATCAACTGCTCAGATGTATAAATGAGATAAAAGTAAGCTGCTCTGGATAAGAGCGTCTCCCAAATGTCATAAATGTCACTGTAAAACTTTGTAAAACATTCATAAAAACAGTGGTTATTTCTAAGACATGTTGTGGCATATTTGTCTGCTGGTACAATAATTTCATATTTCTTTCACTGTATATAGAGTGAACTGTCAATGCACAGGCAGTATCCTATTTATTTATATATTTGCAGTGAAATGGCTAGAGTTGACCTTGAAAGAAAGAAGGAGCAAGAGAAGAGAGAGTTTGAAACATCAAGACAGAAACAAATGACTTTTTTTTTTAATAGTTACTAAACGGTCACACAGAGAAATCAAGACTGTTATAGCTACATCACATCACATGAGATGGTCATACAGTATGTTATTGTAATTGCTCGGTATGAATGTGCTATATTTAATTATGCTGAAAATTATTTCCTTCTCTCTCTCTCTCTCTCTCTCTCTCTCTCTCTCTCTCTCTCTCTCTCTCTCTCTCGCTCATCTACCTATTTCATCATAGTTTTGGTTGTGATGAACGTTCCCGTTTCTATTATTTACAGAGTAAATAACATGAAGGAAAGAACAAAGTTAGTAACAATGGAATTAATCATAAACACAGAGCAAGAGAAGACAAAAAGGAACAATTATTTTAAAAGTGTAGCTGCCTTACTGTGACAGCTGGCCACAAATCTGACTGCTGGTTGCTTCCCAAAATGAATGGCAGTCTTTCGCTGTCATTCCTCTCTGCCTGTTTCTCTCTATCTCTAGCTTTATTGGTATGACTGCCACAGATACAACATTTGATACAATATTTATTATTATTATTATTATTATTATTATTATTATTATTATTATATTTTCATCTTCATGGTTCTTGTACTTGATTCTGTGTCAATCGTAATTCCTTAAAATTTGTCCAAAGAGTTTTAAAGATTTATTCATGGACAGTTCTCTGTCACTCTCTCTCTCTCTCTCTCTCTCTCTCTCTCTCTCTCTCTCTCTCTCTCTCTCTCTCTTTCTCTCTCTCTCTCTCTTACTCTCTCGCTCGCGTTTTTCACTTCAGCTGCCATCTCTCCTGGCAACTAAAATCCTCTCGTGTCCTTTTTTATTGCTGACCGTTTCTTTGAGTGATGACTTCACTGTTCAGAGCAGCACCCACACACAAATACACACACACACACACACACACACACACACACACACACACACACACACACACACACACACAACACCAATTGAGTTTATGATCATCAGATGATTGGTGTTATTTATCACACATTTCTGCTGCTGCATATGGGATAATCTCCTTTTTGATTCCTCTTTGTTTAGGTCAACCTGTCATAACTCGCATGACTGATCTTTACCTGATTAATCCAGAGCACAACATTAAGCCTCAAATACTGAAGGTGTACTAAATAAGCCTTAATAGCACTTTAAAAAAAAAAGCAAAAAACAAACACAAAAAGCGCAACAACAACGAAAAGCTGAGCTGAGTTTCACTGAGTAGAGATGGCAAGGCCATTATTTTCCATCTTGTGCCTCCTCTTCCATGTGCCTTCAATTGGTAAAGCAAATATGTTTTTTACATACGCCATTAATCATACTGAAATCGGCTTAAACACATATTTTGCCACATTTCCCCAGTCAGCTCATGCATCATAAGGAGACGGTAACAATAGAAGAAACTAATTTGCTGGAGGTATGAAACATGTCAGGTTTGAAACAGAGGGCTTCTCTGCTGGAACACAGGTCATGTAAACATCATTACACTAGTTTTGGTTGTCAATTTAATCTTTAAGCTCAAGAGTTTACATGCTAAAAAAAACAATTATCTAACATGATCTGATTTTAAAGAAGTCAGGGTAATCTGATTTACTCAGAAATAGGGTCACTACCACAATGCTGTGTTTAATGTTCATGAATTTGATTGTGAATATAGAAGTGTGATCTGCTATTCATATGTAATGTATAAATCATCGTGTGCTTTATGTTGATTTGGTACTACAGCAGATCCTCATTTACGAACTTTATGACAAAGTGCAATATTTCTGAGGCATGTTGTACTGGGCTGTGATGTTTTCAACCCCTTTAGGACTCTTTTTTGTTGTTGTTGTTTATTTGGTTGATTCATATGAAAAGATTTCATATGAGGCCAGATTTAGAATTTTTTAAATTAAAGAGAAACTTGAAGAAAAACTTTTGTAAATTCTTCATATTTTGTTGCCATGGTAGCTGGCACTGCATTAAATTACAAACAAACCAACAATACTAGAACAATGTCAAATTATTCAATCTGATTAGTAAGAAGGTGTTGATTAATTCTCTGTAACAGCAAATAGTGCAGATCACAGATTTATATTAATGCACATAATATTATATGCTATTGATATCAACTCATTCATGGAGACATTCACAGAGGCTAATAATAAACAATTAAAAAAAAACATGTTCTTATAACAAAGAAAATCCTATCTTTGTTGATATGGTGAAGTTTTCTGTGAGGAGAGTTTTATGTAAGTATCGCGTCAGTATCAAATGAGGAGCAGTGAGAATTCATAGTATCAAAGTGAAACGAGAACTCTCATTAATTTCTGTATTGATGTTATCCAAAATCTCTTTTTGGTGTAATTGCCTGCAGATATTAATCTGCTTTACTGATTTATTTTTTTTTTTTTAAGTATTTAATGTTGTTTAAGATACTCTTATCTCTCATTTTCCTTCTGATAACAGCCACCAGACTGCAAAGTATTACAAGTGGGGTATTAAAGTGTATATAGTAATGGTTTATCTGTTTATAATTATATATTTCAACTATACATGTATGCACTGGATAGAAATGGCCAATATATGCTGTGGGGATTCTAATTGAGGAGGTGTTGTAAACATGTAAATATAATACACATGTAAACATATTAATAACAATTAAGTACCTCTATAATAAGTTCAGCTATAATATATAATAATAAGTACCTCTATAATATATAATAACATTACACTTATTTTATGTCTCCTCCAAACCATATGCTGTCTTGCATATCACACACAGGCACATGAAATTCAGTCAGTCACCAATATTCATGAATTATATGTGGCATAAACAAACACAGTTTATTCATCCTTATCTTCCCTATCGCAACCCTCTGTCATCTCACTCCTAGAATGTTTCTCTTTTTCTTTTCTATCAGGTGGTCCAAAGTAATTTATTATAGTTTTTTTTTTCCTCCTGCCCTGCAGACTGTCTCTCTCCCCTTCAAACTCCTCTTTTTCTTGCCTTTTTTTGAGTATCAACAAAAATAAGAGTGACAGCCTTTGCCAGTACAATATAAAGTGGTACAGTAAAAGCCAATAGTATCTTTAGAATCTGCATAAATGACAGCTTCTACTATAGCATCTGTTAAAGTAAATGTTTCTGTTTTTCGGCTCTGTTAAGATTTTCGGCTCTGTTAAGACTCTTAATTTTCCTGATCAGTCCTGTGAGACTGCGTGCTGATAGAGAAGCGTTCCCATTGGCTGCAGATTATAGGTATTATTGTAGGTATTATGGCAGATCATGAAAGTCAGCGTTGCGCAACCACATGCAGAATATCCCCATTACATTTATGTGTGGAAGTAGCTTTCATAGTCTTTTGAGTGGATAACAGATCCACTTAAAATTTACTCCCCAAACTATCTGAAAACATTCTACCTGTTACGATTTCCCCTCGTGTTAGCGCAAGAGCACATGGCGTGCTTCCGGGTTTGTCAGTGACAATGACTTTGTTTACTTTCTACACGTGCATTTGTTATGGTTTATGGTCTCCTCCCCTGTATTGTCATTTGTTGTTTCTCAGTATGTGTCATCATTAGTCT